ACTTATTCATTTTAAAAAGATTATTTATGTAAGAACTATATTTATTTTATATCTAATTTCTCCTCTTTATATATGTGGAGTCAAATTAATTATAATTGAGGTTTAAATGAATATATACACATTATATTAAATATAAAACTTTACCAATAAATTTGAACACAATTACCTTTTTTTTGAATACTATTGAGACAATAAACTTTTTTCCATACTTCATTATGCTTTGATATATATAGAGATAGAAAAAAGAGTTATAATAATAAAATATAATTTATAAAATATAAATACACATAATAACTTCAAAAAAATATGTATAAAAATACATCTACCCACACAATTAACGCATTCATACTTGCTAATCTTGTTTCTATCAAAATACATTTACACTTTGGAGGGAAAATTTTGTGGATAGATTCCTTCATTATATATAACTAGCATTCCACCCGTGCGATGCACGATCTTAAAATTATACTCAAAATTATCAATTATTATTATTTGTTATATTTAGTAATACTAATTACTAATAAAAAGTAGAAAGCATTACTTTATTGGTCAACAGCAAAATTAAAAATATAAAATGAAATATTTGAAATGTACTTATAATATAGATATAATTATTGAAATTGATAAGATATATTTGAAATTGATAAGATATAGTAGAATTTTAATATTCATACTTCAATATATTACAAATTATTAGATGTAAAATACTAATTTTTAACTTTTTCAAACAAATATTTGCAAATATTATATGTTAAAACCCAACTTATAAATTTTTAGAAAGAAATAATCATACATAATATTTAAATATAACCAATTACAATAACATGCTATAAACTCTAACACAAACCCAATTAATCCAAAACCCAACAACCCATCCTATAAATGTTACAATTCACCCGTTTTAAACCCTAAACATCAATTCTTCATTAGTCCATAACTCTACCCCGTTCTCATTCGCTCCGCATCCAGAGAGAACCTAAGAAAAAACATACTTGAATTGTCATTAATTTCTTTATTTCGTAGATACTATGATTGTCTCAACCTCATTGAGGCTTTCTTCACGTCCTTCATTGCAAAAATATAAATAACTATGAGTTCTAAAAATTTGATAATTACAAAGAATATAATAAAATATATTAAATTTAAATTAATACTGAAATTTTTTTAATAATACATTAAAAAAATATAAATTGGGCCATATGATATATAATGACTTCATTGTCCAAAAATTAAAAAGGCAATCCCAACAAAATAAAACATGGTCCAACAATAATAATTCCACTTATTTCTTGCCGTTTTATTAGTTTTGAATGCTCCCGTTTAATCTTAAAAAAAAATCATATTCCACAAAACACCTAATCAAAAATTAATATGAAAAAAATTATTTAATAAAATGTAAAATAACAATTTGCAAGCTTAAATATGAGTTTTTTGAAAAATGTTAGTATTTTAAAAGTTATTTTTTAAATGCATTATTTAGAATGAAATAATAAATTTAAGTATAATATTTAGCATAATTCCAAATATATAATAGTTTTACCACAATTATAATTTTTTATAAAAAACAAATATGGTAAATTTATTTGGAACCGTTGATTTTAGGGCTTCGGACATAAATCCTCTTTCACTCTGTCTCTTACCCTCGCTACCGCTCACCGCCCACTTAGCCTCTCCGTTGTACCGTGATTCCGTCTCCGCCTCTCCTTGGAACCGTTACTCCGTCTCCCCCTCTCTGTGGAACCATTACTCTGTCATCTCACTTTCTGAGTTTCACAGACTCATCGTCTCAACTCTCAGTCGCTCTTTCTAACATCTCTATGGCTCTCTAAACAGGAAACCTTATATCTGCTCCGGGATTATTCTCCTTTGAGGGTTCGAGTGCTCTGGTCATGAAAATGTAACAGGTATTTTAATACTTTATTAGCTTTTTTTCTTTTCTTTTCTTTTTTTTTTTCTTTCAAAAAATTAAAATGTACAGTCTTTGGGAATTTGACCCTCAAGGACGGAGCCTTTCAAAAAACAATATGATGCTTTAACTGTACAGTTTAATGAGTAAATGATCAGATATGCACCCCAATTCTGTTAATTGAGCAGATTGAATTTCTTGCGAACGCACTGCAATTAAGTGTTGATTTTTTTTTTATTTTTTTTTTTTTAATATTTGTTGGCTGGTTTCTGCTTTGTATTGCTTGAGACATAGGAACACATATCAAGGGAGCATTTCTGTTAAAAGATTTACATGTTGATGCAGTTCTCTTGGTAAACCACAATGATTTCCATCACAGACCTAGTGTTTTAATCCCTACATCAATATTTTTCTATACATCATATAGAAAACTAAGAAGAATACCTTACATAGATGATGTTCTCTTACTCTTGCCTACTATTGTTGTGTGCTTCCTTTCAATTTTTTCATGAATGTTAAATATAACTTGTAAATTTGAAATGTGTTTTGTGAACTCTGTTTGTTATATGATATGTTAGTGTTCAACTTTGCAATCTACACTTCTATCTTACTCCGTATGTATAAGAGATACTAAAATTGGGGTTCTTATATATAATACATACATTTGTATTTTAGTGCATGTGATTTTGTAAATATAATGATTTACTTTTGTTTCTAAATCTGATATACCATGTTTGTAATCCCATATATAATTTTTTACTATGATGATCATACTTTATTCTTGATGATTTTAGGTGCCAATGGCATAGAGAACCCTTGGTAGTGCAAGATTACATGTTGCTTGGTATGCTGTTGAAACCCTTCCAAAAAGTGTTTCTAACAGTGTGTCCATACTAAGCTTTGCCTCTCCCATTCCTCCCATCAAAGAAGTGTTTCTATACTGCCTAAGTATTAAAAATGAAGAACGAAGGAATTTCATACGATAAATATAAAAAATGGAGGAAGTGCATACTTCAAATCACCGGCCTCTTGTTTTCTGCCATTTAACTCTCTTTGTGCTCTCTTGTTTTCTGCCCTGTATCTCTGTTTGTGCTTTAGTGTAAATGTGAGATTTCAACACAGAACATGTACACTATTTATAGGCTATTTTTTGCCAAAATTCAAATTCAAAAAGATGTAATAATTATTTTTAGCATTATTTTACATAACTTGTAAAACTAAACTATCTCTCATTCAATCATTTCAATGTATCTTTATCACTCAAAAAGTCAAAAAGCAATTGATAGCATTGGAAAATGGAATGCCAAAAACAACTAATTCCAAGTCCAAGTCCCAAGGTAGGCATTAAATATGTAATACTCCGTATCAGATTTCTTCAATAAATAAACCATTTATTATAGACACTGGTCACACTTCATCATCCCTAAATAATAGTAAAAAAAATAAAAATTAAATCTAAATTGTTTGGGCGGGAATTGGAGCCAATATTTGTGAGCAAAAGATTTGGCTTTTTTATATATAGGATATAGGATAGGATAGGATAGGATAAAGAAGATAAAGATTAGTAGTTGTGTAAATATAATTATACATTTTCATTTAATGCTATCAAATATCTTAAATTCTATTCTTAAAAAACAAACAAACAAACAAGATCGAACTTTGATTGTGGGGTACCTTATGCTCAGATTGCATTACTGTGACTCTCTTTGAGAAAAGTTCATAGGATCAAACTCCAATGATGGAATACTATCTTGTAATAGAGTTAATAGTACTAAAATGGAAGCAAACAAACAATTTAGCCCAACAAGAATTAATTTTTGGGTCAAACTTTGTAATATATAATGGATTACAGGTAAGAATGCAAATGAATGTGCATGAATAGTTGTTGGGAAGTAATTAATCAGCTTGGTTGGTGTGAGTAGTCGTGCACTCTTGTTCTTTAAAAGAGGTCAGGAGTTCAAATCCCTTCTCGTATGAAAAAATTAATCTGGCCAACACTTGCTGGCTCGGTGCGAATGGAGATTAGTCTGAGTATGGTATGAGTTACAATTTGGGGCTTGTGATCTGATAAAAAAAAATAGTTGTTGGGAAGTCGAAATCATCCATTCAAAAAAAAAAATTGAGCACCTTTGCTTAATATGACAGAAGAAAATTAGAATACATTATCTATCTGATCTTCAATTCTCATTTTGGTTGACTATAATATTATATTAGTAGCTGTGTAAATATAATTAGCTTAGCTTGCCGGCCTTTTCTACGCCACCTTTTCTTAATCTCAAACTCTACTCTACTTAAGACACCCCCATTATCATTTTTAGACTATCAATAAGTATTTAGACTATCATTTTTACAAAATTACAAATATTTATTTTAATAACAAATATAATCAATATCTCATATATTATCTTGTATTCATATACTTTGAATTAACGATTTAAATAAATAAATTTAACATTTAATTACATATGCATGAACATCTCTTATATAATCTTGCATTGATATATTTTGAAGTAATTATTTATAAAAATAAACATTGGACATTATCTCAAGAAGAGCAGCAAGAATACGGAAACAACATGAAAATAATAATTAGGTCTCAAAAATATAGTGGATAAAAATTAACTTGGTCCAAACATAACTATTTATCACATAGGAGGGAAGCTCAACCCAACACAATTAGCCATTTGTTTTCACATACTATACAAACCCATTAATTACTTTTCAGAAAGTACAGTGCTTCTTCAAATTTTGTTAGCCAATTAAGCATTAATCAAAGGCATCTCCTTTAGCACTCCCTTGGCTGAAATAATTGAACAAATTTAAAAGACATCTCCTTTAGCCGAAATAATTGAACAAATTTACCTGCTACAAACATCTTTTTGTCTACTCACATCTCCCACCAAATTAAAATTTAAAAGCACAGGAAAAGGCATCTCCTTTTGCATTCCACTAATATTTGTCTTAAATCCATTCCAATTTTTTATGACAAAAGGCGCCACCTAAAGCCCTCCTCCCATAATAAACTTTTGTCTTGTAGCTATACCCACTTCTCCTTCACTGCCGAAATCAACAATCAATCAGCTACCACTCTCATTACTCTACTCTGCAAATATTCCAATTTCAGCATTTTTCCTCTCTCTGCTAAACACCATTATATCTATCTTAATTAGCTCTTCAATTCGATCTACAACATCACCTACTGTCCATGCCTTTTGCTTTGCTGCTGCATCAAACCTTTGATCTCATCTCCAAATTCGCTTCCATCTCATGTAAGTTTAAATATTAAAGTATGCTTTTTTGCTTTCTTTTTTTTTTTTTTTTAAACATTTGTTACACTTTACTTTTCATGAGCTATATATATATATATATATATATATATATATATATATATATATATGAATGAAAATGAATATGACTTCACTATTCTCCTAGATCGGTGTTACTTTATGCTAAATGATAATAAAGCTATATTTTCTTTTTGCTCGATATAGTAATTACATTAACACACCTAATTCATTTGTATATACAGAGTATATATCATAATATAATCAGGGGTGGTCATTTGATTAATTTTGAACCAAATTAATTGAAATTGAATTAATCAAAATTCTAATGTTAATTTTGTGAATTGACGCTATTCATCTATCAAGTTGAAAAGTGATTTTTGATTTAATAGAGTTAAATTATAATTTTTTTTTTTTTAAACAAGTTAAATTATAATTTTATTATATATTTATTATTAATTTGGTTGATTCGGGAACTGTTTTTTGAACCAAACTAGTATTTGCGCCCGTGCGATGCACGGAATAGATTTGTTGTAATATATTAAGAATATTTGGATCGATATATAATTATTTAAATTAGAACATCAAATATTATATAGTTCAATTGAATATACGGGTTGGATCATTTATGTGTTTTTATATTATCATTGTATGAATTTAAGCAAATAATTGCTCAAATTAATAGCTAATGTGTAGATGTATGCATGTAGTGTTATAACTTTGGAGATTTTTTTGCATCATTGTTTAGTATTTTTTTTTTATAAATTATACGAATGTGTTTGTTTTCTAGCAACTCAGTTATATGAATGAATTGTTATCTTAATTCATTTGTATGGAGGATATTTTTTTTGTCTATACATATAGCAATTTTGTCATTTAAAAAATATAATATCAACGATTTTATTTACACATTGTTGAAATCTCTTTGTAGACGACATTGGTAGTAGCAACACAATCTTGTCCATCATCGTCTAGAGCTAACACCTTCAATTGATCAGGATGGGTGACTCGGTGAAAATATATAATGGTATAATATTAGTCAATTAGCGATCCTTTTATATTTTAAATAAATTAGTAATATCATATTCATTTTCAGTCAATTATTCTTTTGTATTTTTAGTCCATTAGAATATTACATGGAGTGATATTTTTACCTAATTTGTGTTCCATTTTTAATTGAGAATGTATAATATTATTATTGAAATATTTCTGTTCCATTTGTAATTTACCTTTATTATTGTTTAAAATATGTATTTACTATTTATGATGTAGAATATTATTATTGAAATATTGACGTTCAATTTTAGTTTCCCTTCCATTTTAATTAAAATGCAATGGTCTAACCATTTATTTTTTTCATATTAGTCAATTATGAATAATTTTTTATTTGCAGTCAATTATTAATATTCATTTCCTTTTAAATTTTCAATCCATTAGTAATATCATATTTATTTTCATCCAATTACTTCTCTTTTATTTTTAGTCAATTAATCAATTAGCGAACTAAAATATCAAATGCAATGATATTTTTATCAAATTTTCGTTTCATTTTTAATTGATGATTTAGAATATTATTATTGAAATATTTCCATTTCATTTTTAATTTTCGCTACATTTTTAATTTACCTTTACTATTGTTTTAAATATGTCTTTAGTATTGATGATGTAGAATATTATTATTGAAGTATTTCCTTTTTATTTTTAATTTACCTTTACTTGATAGTGTAGAATATTATTATTGAAATATTTCCATTCTATTGTTTAAAATTGTGTAAAATTTATGACATATTTATGATTTGATGTATTATACTGTGTAATATTATTGTGAAAAATTAAAATGTAATGATCTGACCATTTTTTTTTCTATTTTAGTCAATTATGAATCTTTTCTTATTTTCAAACAATTGTTAATATTCATTTCCTTTTTCAATTAATCTAATGTTTGTTGCCGAGCAGCTTGTGCTTAGATAGCATGTAGTGACATCTCTTATGTGGGAAGTCATGAGATCGAGCCTTAGTGAATGTGTTGGTTGAGAAAATATGTTTGAACAGATATTTATTTATTTACTTAATTTTCATTCCATTTTTAATTGATAATATAGAATATTATTGTGAAATATTTTTGTTCTTTTTTTTTATCATTTTTTTTAATTTACCTTTACTATTTACTATTGTTTGGGCGATAAATCAAGTAAATAGAAATTTGTTTTTAATTATATTATAGATTTTTTTTCTTTTTCTATTGTTTGGGTGTGAAAGTAAGGAAGAAGGCTTTTCTTTTTAATAATGGTATAGATTGAGAATCTTTTTATATTTACCTATTTAACTTATTATTATTAGTATTAATCAGTGACTTTCGTTTCTTTTTCTATTTTTAGTGAATTAAGGATCCTTTTATATTTTTCTATTTTAATGTTAACTTTTAATTTTACTGATTATTATTAGTATTAATTATTCAGTGAATTCCATTTCATTTTCTATTTTTCGTAAATTATGAATCTTTTTTTTTTTCAATTTTTTTTGTAGGATTGTTTTTACTGTAATTTTTATTATGACCCCTTTTTTAAAAAAAAATCTTTCATTTTCATTGAATTAAGAATCCTTTTTTATTTTCAATTTTACTGATTATTATTAGTATTAATCAGTAAATTTCGTTTATTTTTCCATTTTTAGTGAAGTAAGGATCTTTTTTTTTCTTCATATTTTACTGCTTATTTTCTGACTGATTATTATTACTATTAATTAATCAGTGAATTTCATTTCCTTTTCTATTTCTCGTGAATTAAGAAATTTTTTTATTATTCTAATTTTTGGTAGAATTTTCTTTTTTTTACTGTTATCCTTATTATGACTTTTTTTTTTTCACACCCTTACATTTCTTTTTTCCATTTTCATTGAATTAAGACTTTTTTTTTACCAATTATTATTAGTCATAATCAGTAAATTCCGTTTATATTTTCATTTTTAGTGAATTAAGGATCTTTTTTTTTTTACTGATTATTGTTTGTTTTAATTAATTAGTGAATCTCGTTTCCTTTTCTATTTTTTGTGAATTAAGGATCTTTTTTTCTATTTTACTACTAACTTTTTTACTAATTATTATTAGTATCATTAATTGGTAATTTTTTTTTTATTGTTTGGACGGGTAAGTAAGAAATGGGGGTTTAGTTTTTAAGAATAATATAGAATTTTAGTGAGTTAAGGATCCTTTTTATAGAATTCTCTTTCAATATTTAAATACATTAGCATAGTAATTACACCAAAGAAGGAAAGAAAAATTATTAGAATAATAGTATTTTCACCCGTTCGATGCACAGAATGGATTTGTTGTAATATATTAAGAATATTTGGATCAATATATAATTATTTAAATTAGAACATCAAATATTATATAGTGCAATTGAACATATGGTTTGGATTATCTATGTGTTTTGATGTTATCATTGCTTAAATTTGAGCAAATAATTGCTCAAATTAATAGCTAATGTGTAGATGTACGCATGCGGTGCTGTAATTTTGGAGATTTTACTTATCATTGTTTAGTTTTTTTTTTTTTTTTTTTTTTTTTTTTTTTAAATTAGTCAAATGTGCTCATTCTCAAGCAACTCAGTTATAGGAATGAATTACTATCTTAATTCATTTGTATGGAAGATATATATTTTTTTGTCTAGATATATAGCAAATTTGTCATTTTAAAAAATATCAACGATTGTATGTACACATTATTGAAACATCTTTCGACATTGGTAGTAGCAACACAATCTTGTCCATCATCGTCTATAGCTAACACCTTCAGTCCATCATGATGGGTGACTCGAGTGAAAATATATAATTGTAGAATATTAGTCAATTAGAGATTTTTTTATATTTTAAGTAAGTTTGTAATATCATATTCATTTTCAGCCAATTATTCTTTTTTATTTTTAATCAATTAGTCAATTAGAATATCATATGCAATGATATTTTTACCTAATTTTCGTTCGAGTTTTAATTGATTATGTATAATATTATTATTGAAATATTTCCGTTGCATTTTTAATTTAACTTTATTATTGTTTAAAATATGCCTTTATTATCTATGATGTAGAATATTATTGTTGAAATATTCCGTCAAATTTTAGTTTCCATCAATTTTTAATTAAAATGCAATGATCTAACCATTTATTTTTTTCATATTAGTTAATTATAGATCATTTTTTATTTGCAGTCAACTATTAATATTCATTTCATTTTATATTTTTAGTTAATTAGTAATATCATATTCATTTTCAGCCAATTATTCTTTTTTATTTTCAGTCAATTGGTCAATTAGAATATCAGATGTAGTGATATTTTACCCAATTTTCGTTCTATTTTTAATTGATGATGTAGAATATTATTATTAAAATATTTTTGTTTCATTTTTAATTTTCATTGCATTTTTAATTTAACTTTATTATTGATTAGAATATGCCTTTATTATTGATGATGTAGAATATTGTTATTTAAATATTTCCTTTTCATTTTTAATTTACGTTTACTTGATGATGTAAAATATTATTATTGAAATATTTCTGTTCCATTTTTAAAATTGTGAAAGATTTATGACATAATTATGGTTTGATGTACTATATTGTGTAATATTATTGTAAAAAATTAAAATGTAATAATTTGATCATTTCCCTTTTTCATTTTAGTCAATTATGGATCATTTTTTATTTTTAGTCAATTATAAATATTTATTTCCTTTTTCAATTAACCTAATTTATGTTCCTTTTTTCATTTTTAATTTTCAGTCAATTATTAATATTCAGTTATTTTTTCAGTTTACCTAATTTCCATTCCATTTTTAACGGATGATGTAGAATATTATTGTGAAATATTTATGTTCTTTTTTTCCATTCTTTTTTTAAAATTTACCTTTACTATTTACTATTGTTTGGGTGTAAAATCAAATAAATAGGATTTTGTTTTTAATTATAGTATAGATTGACTCATTTACGAAT